AATACAGGTAGTTTGAAGAGGAAGAGGAAAGAAAAAAAAAGAGAGAGAAAGAAAGGGAGGGAGAAACATAAAAGGGTAAACCCAGAATATGATATTGTTAATTAGATAGTTACTATTTTGATAACACACTCTTCTATTATCTGGAAATCACTTACTTTAGTTTTGTGTGACAAGGTGCGCCATATTGAGTCAAAGTACCTCCAGCAGTTCATATTCTTATGTATGTCTGTACATACATTGACAAACCATACAAGAATAAGCCAATGTTAAGTTGTTTGGTCTGTTTTTGTGTGTATAAATTCTAATTACTTTAAAGGAATAACATAAATTGCAGGAAATGCTAAAACACATTCTCTTTGTAGCAGACCATGGCTATGATGAGATAAAGGGAAGAAAGAGCAGGAGAGATAGAGTTAGGGATTTCTCATATACTGAGAATCTCCTAATAGGGGCTGAAAAATATAAAGTTCCCAGGTCTTTAAATTAATAACATTTGTTCCAGAAATTAATGACATACTGCCTTGTTATATTATTAAAATGATTATTACCCTTAACTCATGATAGCTTCTTTCATTTCGTAAATATATATTGAGTACCAGCTATTTGCTAGGTATTAATCTGAGCACTTGAGATACATTATTGAACAACAATAACGAAAATAACAGTCCCTGCTCTGGTGAAGCTTACGGAGTATTTGGAACAGACAATAAATAAGGAACAAAATATGTAACTTATATAGGATGTTTGAAGATAACAAGTGCTATAGGAAAAAAAAAGAATAAGGGAAATAGAAGATGTTGTATATCTGGCAGGGTTATTTTGTGATTGAAACAGGTTAGTTAGGGTAGGTGTCTTAGAGAGATGACATTAGAGCAGATTCTTGAATGAGGTGAGAGAATGAGCCTTCCAGGCAGAGGGAAGAGCATTTCAGGTAGAGGGACAGCTAATATAAAACTCTAAGGTGGAAGCTAGGAGCATGCCTTGGCATGTCAAGGGACAGCAAAGCCCTTAGTGTAGTTGGAGCAGATTGAATAAGGTAGTATGGAGCAAAACTGTCATAAAAATATTTTTTTAAATACAAGTAAAGAAAATACTGTAGTGCTAACCATGGTGCTAGGCATGTAGTGTTCTCCTAAGGTTATTTCATGAAAAGGGAATAAGTTTTTTTTATTATAAAATTTCAATATATATCTTACTGAATTCAAACTACTAGTTTTTTTTTCTTCCATGAGCCAATGACACCTTTGGTGTTTGTAATTTGGCTATTGTCTTTTTTAAAGGATGAAAATTAATTTATATTGAAAACTAATCATTACTATTCAGCTTAATTCCAATATCATAAAGCAGAGTAGCTCTTTGAGCAAGATAGATACCTAACTTATTATGATGTTAAGATTCATTTTTCACCCTTTCATATAATAGATACTGAGTTCATAAAATATTTCAAACACTTGGTTAATGTAAATGATGATGAGTCACTGTCTTCATAGATTTTGCCATCTGGTAGAAGCCAGAAAGTAGAATTTAAACTTTTTCTACAAGTGTTATGAGAGGGGAAATACAGTGTGCTCTTGAAGCACATAAGAGCTACATTAATCTAGACCTGGGGACAAGGAAATATTTCTTTAGAAAGTGATGTTCTATCTTGCAATCTGAGTGAAATAGGAGTTGGCTTGGTAAAGGTGTGGGGTAATGGGGTTCCAGGAAGAGGAAATACCACATGTAAAGATCCAGAGAACTTGAAAACAAGTAAGAGACGGACATGATCAGATTTTCTAAAATCAGAAAGATTATTCTGACCGAGTAGAGAGAGCATTGGAGGGGGTAAGATGAAGACAGAAGACCAGTGCAGGAGCTATTGTGGTAAATTAGGCAACAAATGAGGGGAGCCTGACCAGAAGGGTAATAATAGGTAAGATGGAAAAAAAATGGATGGATCCTTGCTGTATTTATTAGGTGGAATGCAGAGACAATGAATGAACAGATGTAGAGGAAGAGGAGACAAGGATAACTCTCATGTTTCCAGATTGAGCAAAGATGGAGTGGAGCCATTTGCTAGGACCAGAGAATGAGCAGGTCTCGGGGCAAGAAAGAGAACTGGTAAGTTACATTTGGTATTCAGCTTATACTGTCTGTAAACACCTATATATTTCCTCTTGACAGTCAAAAATAGTTGTCTATATGGATCTGAGGCTCAGGAAAGACTTTAAAGGCAGAAGAAACAGAATGATATCTCACTGTAAAATAAATAAATAAAATAGTCCCTTGGCACAACATGTTAATTACATAATCCAGATTAAGCCACTTTTTTCTCTATAAAAAATAAATACATCACAATGCTTAGACTATTTCAACTGCTCCTAAAGTATATAGTAAGGTGATTTTAAAATATAAGGTGTATTTTATTACATGGCTAGAACTTCATTATTTTATCCAGGAACATGAAATAATATTTAAGTAATAAAAAGTGGCTACATTTAAAACACGTCCTCTTGCTCATCTTTTAAAATAACTGTACTCTTCTTCATTCTTTCTTTAAGGAAGATCCTGGATTTGTGGTTCTACTCTATGTCATCCAAGTATGAACAATGACAGGCAAAGATTGTTTCAAAAGAAAACACAAATGGTAGGCAAAGTCAATTATGAGTAGGAATACATTTATAGGGCCCTTCTTAGATCTAGATGTTCAAAATGAGAGGCTTGAATTAACATATATCTGTGTAAAGAGATGAAATTGACATGCAGTCTGAAATAGATAACTGCCCTTATGAATCGGGCTACTTCTTTCAGCAGTGTGATGCATAGAGAGTATTTGTAGAAGTGCCAATTCATCAGCATTTTTGTTATAATTTGGTTAGCAGGTTACTGAGTTAGCAAATGTCATGAGTTTGAAATGTGTTTGCATTTGAGTAGCATTTTTAAATCATGAGTAAAAAATTTGCATGTGTGTTTATGTGTATGTGTTTATTTTTTTAAATTTTACTCATTTATTTTTGAGAGAGGAAGAGAGAAGAGGGAGAGAAAAGCACAAGTGGGGGAGGGGAAGAGAAAGGGGGATGAGAGAATCTCAAGCTGGCTCCACACTGTCAGTGCAGAGCCTGATGAGGGGCTCAAACTCATGAACAGCAAGATCCTGACCTGACCAAAAGTCGGATGCTTAACCAACGGAGCTACCCAGGTCCTCCTGTATGTGTTTTACTAGTAGCTAGTGGCTTACCACAAAAGAGTTTTGGATTATTAATTTTCCTGTTATACCACAGTATTGGTTTACTGAGATCCTAACTAAAACTCATATATGTTAATGGGTACAATGTCACTTATGTAAAAAAGATCTTTATTCTACTTATAGATTAAATTATAGTGAAAGCAAGAGCAAATACATTTGGTGTCTTTTCCTTGTTCTGAAAATGATTTTTTTAGATCTTGATATTTTAGGGGAATCTGATGTATTATAAGGATGGAAATAAAAGAATTTCAAATATTTTAATACCATCTCTGTAGGAAGATAAGTTTGGATTGTTGCCTAACAAAGCTACTTTCTACTAGAATCCTACAGTGAAACATACTTGCCCCGGCTTCCACTCACCATTAACCCAAGGGTGAAAGGAGACAAGAATGTCTAACTTACTTTTAAAATGGACATCAGAAATCTCCAAAACTCTTATTTCTACATTCAAATATATTTCCAGATATGCTTCCCTCTTCCTTTAATTTCACTACTCTTTTTAAGTTTTACTGATTACAACCACTTTCCCATATTGTCATTATTTCCGGATGCCATTTCAGAGGATAACAAGTGTTATGCTACTTTTATTGTCTCCTTGGCTCTAACACTTCCCAAGATACTTCCAGCTCAAAGAAACACTTACTCACACTGTAGCTTTTTGTGGAAAAGGTAGATTAGGAATGACTGTTATTAACCTCTGTAGAACACAGTATGTCTCAGCTCCTCCTGTGTACTTCCTGTGAGATTCAACTGATTTTTCAGAAACCCGTCACGTCTTCTGACAATCCCCAGTGCTGGGCAGATATATTTGTCTCTTAATGCTACAATATAAAACTCTATTCTTCCTTATAGGTTAAGATCATCTATCATGACAATGCATTTTTGTGCATACAAGTTAAGTTTATTAAGCACAACTGGTATATATCTGGGTTTACAGATATACTGTGTCTCTCAGGCAAAGGAAAATACACAATTCTCACAGGGGTGATTGATTCTATTATTAGATGGTTTGTTATCCTCATTAATTGCATAACTATGAAGTCCATAACAACAGAAGCTAGGGAAGATTTTGAGGGATGCTGATTCAAAGATTTAAATAGTTAATGAAAGATATCTTTAATATAATATTATTGATATTCTTTTCAACTCCGGAGACAAAATTTCTAAAATCACTTGGACATCTGGTAAAGTTATCACTGACATTCTTGAATATATGGGAATATGTATTCTTCAGGGCTAAAAAGGTCTTAATTGGAATGCCTGGATAAAGTTGTGCTCATTTAGGCACTCGCTTATTTGGTTTATTTCTCTTTGCTTGCCCAACTGAGTTGGCATTAGCAGAATAAAAAGACCTACAGAGTCAGAAATATTGGGTGTCTTGAACATTTTTTAAAATGTAATTTCTGTTAAGTTGCCTTGATTCATAAGTATCTGTGTGAATGTCTTTGACAGTTTTGTTCTTTTTATCTTGATGAGGACCAGTCTGTGATGAAACTATGTTACACAGTAATCAAAGCAAAACCTGAGACCGTTGTGTTAAATCATACCAGGCGATAAAAATGTATAATAAGCTCTCTTTAGTACAGAAAACAGGGGCCACAAATTAAAAGAGTCAACCACTCAACTTTTGGTTGAGAATCAGTGCAAGGGAAGTCAAAAACAAAAAAAGAGTGAGACAAATATCACTAGTCAGCCTTATTTTGCTTTAACACGATAATAGCTGTTTTCCCTGTTTACTTAACCTTTGTCTCTTCTGCATTGTTTCCCGACTTACCTGCAGTTGGAGCGGGCCTAAGCCTGGTGCTGCTGCAGCGGCAGCTGCCATGGTAGTTGGGATCAGCTGAACAGGGTAAGGGTCACCTAAGTAAGAGAAGAATAGAGGTGTCAGCACCTTTTATCTACTCTCCACCTGCAAATTAAACTCCTGCATTCACTCTTTCCAAAAGCCTTCCTTTGTGTGCCTTGCTGGGGCCTAATGAAAAGCTCTATTGTGCAGCCTTTTACTAACACTCTTTTCACAATTCTGGCTGAGAGAGGAATGTGAATAAAAGGCACAAGCAATTAAGGCGGAAACCTCATCCTTTTTTCATGATGTATTTAGGAAAATGGGAGGAAAAAGTGTGCATTGATCAGAAGGCTGCACTTTATAACACACACACACACACACACACACACACGCACAGACACACACACACACACACACACACACACACACACACACACACCCCTAACAGTCTTGACATGAGCCTACCAACCCTCAGCAAATTTAAAATGTTACCATAAGAGGAACTTAACTAAATTTAATTCCATTTTAACAAACTCAACTCTAAAGATGTAAGCCAAATAGCTTACCTTTTGAACGCAATGTTATTGTCTTAATTCAAATAACCTCTTAAGTAGTGTCTTGCGGATGATTTGAGAATAAAGAAAACATTTTATGCATTGTTTTATATAAAATATTGGCATCCTTATTATCTCAGAGATAAATGTTTATAAAATATATTATAAAGAAAACAGAATATAGATGGTCTCTCCCTGAAGGGTTTTTGTTTGTGGTGATATCTGAAAAACCAAAATCTTAGTAATTCAACATTAAAGTTTTAATACATGTGATCTATAAAGATATAGAGACACACACAAATATATATACATACAACCTAAAAGATTGGAGTATACATTTTTGATGCAATTTTTTTTTCCATTTGGTAAAGAAGTACAATAGACTTTCTGCTTAGAGCCCACTGACATGCTAACAGGCATGTACATTATTGGTATTTGAAATACGACCGTAGCAAAAAATAAAAAAATAATAATTATAAGAACAATTTTTTTTCAATGTTTATTTATTTTTTGGGGGACAGAGAGAGACAGAGCATGAACGGGGGAGGGGCAGAGAGAGGGAGACAGAATCGGAAACAGGCTCCAGGCTCTGAGCCATCAGCCCAGAGCCTGACGCGGGGCTCGAACTCACGGACCGCGAGATCGTGACCTGGCTGAAGTCGGACGCTTAACCGACTGCGCCACCCAGGTGCCCCAAGAACAATTTTTTAATCTAGAAAAAAATCTATTTTTATCTAATTTGTGAAAATAAAGTTAATATATCCATTCCAAAATATTTGTTGAGTATCTGCTACATATCAAGCACTGCTCTCAACACTAGAAATAGATTTTTAAAGAAGACTGACTTGTAGAGGTGTGTTTACTGGGAATTTAATGAAGCTTAAGCTTTGGGATTCTGCGAAGGGCCTCTGGAAGCATGTTTACAGTATCATATGCTTTCATATTTGTCAGCGTTTTTACTTTGTTGTGATTTCTTTTATAAATGAAAGCTCTCATTTTCACTTGAGTGTGTGTATTTTAAATTATGTGTATATAATTAAAATAATAATTATAAATAAATAATTAAATATATATTTTTTAATGTTTATTTACTTTTGAGAGACAGAGCACAAACAGGGGAGGTGCAGAGAGAGACACACACACAGAATCTGAAGCAGGCCCCAGGCTCTGAGCTGTCAGCACAGAGCCAGATGCAGGGGTGAAACTCACAAACTGTGAGATCATGGCCTGAGCTGAAGTTGGATGCTTAACTGACTGAGCCACCCAGGTGCCCCCATAATTACATATATTCTTAAAGAGGACCCCAAAGTTATATTTTTCAGGCTTCAAAATACCTGAATCTACATCTGCTGACTTGGTCTCCCCAGAACTTATAGCTTAATGGGAGAAAAAGGAAAAAGATAATTCAATGATTAGTAGAAAATACACTGACTGTTAAGATAGGGAAGTATGTAACACTATGCACTACACCATAGGTGCCTTAAACCTAGTCTAAGAGATCAAAGATGGCCTCCAGGAAGAAGTTAGGTTTAAGCTGAAATCTGAATGAAGAGAAGGCTAGCCAAACAAAGAAGAAAAAGAAGAGCCTTGCAGAAAGAAAAACCATTTTAATGAAGACTTACAGTCAAATGGGAGTGTCATATCATAGCCCAGTCCCTGCACTGCTTTAGAACACAGGTAAACAAAAAGAGATAAATGGGACTGGAGAGGGAATCAGGGGCCAGATTATGTACAGCATTATAAACAATATTAAAGAATCTAAAAACTGAGAACAAACTGAGGGTTGATGGGGGGTGGGAGGGAGGGGAGGGTGGGTGATGGGTATTGAAGAGGGCACCTTTTGGGATGAGCACTGGGTGTTGTATGGAAACCAATGTGACAATAAATTTCATACATTGAAAAATAAAAAAAAAAGAATCTAAACTTCATTCTGTAGGCTAAAGGAAACCATGAATGTAGAAAAAGATGGGTTGAGTAAAATCATCTGGGCTAGAGGTTAGAAGCTATAATCAATAGTAAAAAGATCAGAACTCTCTGTAACACATAATAATGGTCTGTACAAGGGTGGTGATGTTGGGATGGAGAATGATGGAGAAAGTCAAGGGATAAAAAGAGGCAACACAGACACAACTTCATGATTGCTTACATATGAGAGTAAGAGAGGACTCAAGGATGACTCTTGTGGTTTTCACTGAACAGCCAGATTGGAGAGTAGTACTGTTTGTTTGGTTTGCAAACATAAATGAGAAGCAAGATTGCCAGGTTGGGCCTGGTGGGGAAGGGGGAGGCCGCGGGGTATGAATAATTCTATTTTGGACACTTTAAGTTTGAAATTACTATTAGATATCTGAATAGAGATGTTCAGTGAGGCACTTGGTAAACACGTCAGTATTTTAGGGGAAAAATTCATATCAGAAATGTAAATTTGAGAGTGGTCAGCATATATCTGGAATGTAAAGCTATAAGCTTTCAGTAGACTCTTTAGGAGTTAACTGTAGATAAAAAAAAAATAGGTCCAAGGGTTGGTTGTGGAATATAGTAATATTTATAGTCAGGGAGATAGGCAACTAGCAGAAAAACTAAGGAGAAATATAAATTTAATGTTCCAGAACCCAAGTAAGGAAAGATTTTCAGAAAGAGTGATTTTATTTCAAATGCTGGATTTAGTAATGTGGAAGTCATTGGTGACTCCAACATGGGCAGTTTCAGTGTAGTGGAGGGTGAGAAAGCCTAATTGGAGTGAGTGTGACCAACAGAGGATGATTAAAAGTAGAACTGGAGTCAGGAAGTGTAGACCCTTTCTTTTCAAAATGAAGTTCTTGGAGAATAATAACAGTTATCACCTAGGAATTCGTTAAAAATGTAGAATTTCAAACCCCACACCAAATCTACTTGGACAGGCAGCATCTAAGATGGAACCCCCCAATGACTCTATTTCCTTCCTTGTGTTTACATCCTTGTAATCTCCTACCCTTGAAGAGAAGAAGGCAAAGTGATGCGATATTACTTGTGACATTGGGTTACAAGAAGATTCTGGTTTTGTCTTGTTTATCCTCTCCCTAACCCTACCCTGTCTATCTGTCTTGGACTAAGCAGCTATGTTGAGCTGCCCTAAAAAGAGGCTCACATAGCAAAGGCATGATGTTCTCAGCCAACAGCAAGCAAAGAGATGAGGCCTGCCAACAGCCAAAGGAGAAAGCTTAGAAGCAGATTCTTCCTCAAGTCAAGCCTAGAGATGACTACATAGTCCGGGCCAACACGCTGGTCACAACTATGTGAAAGATCCTGAGCCACAGGTTCCCAGCAGGGCTGTGTGCAAATACATGTTTTATTGTTTTAAGCCATTAAGTTTTGGGAGAATTTGTTAAAGCAGCAAGTATATACCTTCTGAATTAGAAATTAAATTTCAACAAGAGTCCCAGACAGTTTGTACTTATTTGAGAAGTGACGGAACAGACAATTCTAGTGAGGTGTTTTGCAGTAGTTATTGGAGGGCATGTGATCCAGAAAACCTTACTTAAAAGGTATACTTGTAAAACTTATAGAATGCTTGCATGCCCATAAGAACGATCCAGTAAATATAGGAAAAAAAAACCCTGATGATACAGGGGAGAGAGTGGACCACTGACTGATGTTACATGGATAAGGTTTTATTTACCATTTAGTATTTTTAATATCTAATCTATAAAACACTATCTGAATTTATTTTATTTTTTTTTAATTTTTTTTTTCAACATTTATTTATTTTTGGGACAGAGAGAGACAGAGCATGAACGGGAGAGGGGCAGAGAGAGAGGGGGACACAGAATCGGAAACAGGCTCCAGGCTCTGAGCCATCAACCCAGAGCCCGATGCGGGGCTCGAACTCACAGACCGCGAGATCGTGACCTGGCTGAAGTCGGACGCTTAACCGACTGCGCCACCCAGGCGCCCCATCACTATCTGAATTTATAAGGGGAAGTTTAGATGTTTAAAAGCTGAATTTGTACTATGCAAACTAGCAAAAATAACAAATACTATAGTATGACTATTAGAATAGGCAACTTAAATACTTAAACTATGTAATTTGTTTCTATTGTTCATTTAATCAATATAATCTTAAAATTAACTATAGCAAAAAGTAGAGGCTGTGATGCCCTTCACAGTGATCATTCATTTTATATAATTTAGTTACCCTGTTGCGAATTAATCAATTAATCAGTACTTACAACATCTACCATGTGACCAGAACTCTGCTAGGTTCTTTGGGAGGCAAAACAAAACAAACCTTGGTCTCTATCTACTACACATCCATCTTTTCTAATTAAGTGAGAGAATAAAGATGAAAATAAGAGTAAGCTTGGCCTTGAAGATTTGCAGGAAGAGGGGGGATAGATGTTTTGGGTGGGTGAAACACATTAAAACATGTATGACATGCTGAAGGAATGGAGAGAAATCAGTTTACCTGATAGGTGATAGAATAAAGTAGAGGGAAAAGAGACTGAAGGGAAGGAGTTGGGAAACTTAATACCCCACACTGG